AATTCTTTGAAACATTTGAGAATGAACTTATTTTGTGTCTAATGTGCACCCTATACTAAAATGAGATTTGATTAAAATACTACTAGAAAAATTGAAACTAGCAATTGACAAATCTATTAATAAATAGAAAAATCTATCATTAATTTTAAATTTCATGATAGATTGTCCATCATTGATTTTAATCAAAAATATGGTGTAAAACATCCATCACTAATTAGTAAACTTTTGTCACTAATTTATTTTATAATTAAATTTCTTTTGTGGGTTTAATCACTTTCATATCATCTCTCATGTCACTCTCAAGTACATATCACCAACCACTAGTCACATCATCACTACTTGGATCTCAATGCCATGTCCATAATTACTTTTGATTTTTCTAGTAATGAAAAGGCTAAATTTAATAAGAAAAGTTGAAAAATTTCTTTATTTTTCAAACAATATTTATCAATCACTTAACTACCTCTTTTTTGTTTTGGTGAGATAGTTAAAAATGATTTATATATAAAACTAGATACTTCAGCCCTTCAAGTTAAAGTGTCTACAACCTCCAATGACAAACTAGAAAATTAAATGCTAACCACCAAACCTAAAGCCCGCCAACATGTCAAAAGATAAGAAAGGTCTACAAATCCTACAACAATAAATCCATCATTACATACTATTATTTGCCCTAATTCCTAGCTCATTTTTATATACACGTTTTTTTTAGAGTAAAAATCTTGAGTTTAAAATAAACTAAATGAATTTCAATCATAATACCCTTGTTATCTAAAACTTATAACCTAATTAATTCCTTAGGTAAACATAACCTGATTTGCTCTAATAAAAAAAATCTCTTAAAAATTCATATTAAATACTCAAAAAAAAAATCTAACATGATCAACAAAACTTCAGCAAATTCATGTTCTCACAAGTATAATAGTGTTACCAAGAAAAACATTGAAGTTACCAAGAAAAACATTGAAGTTTCCAATCAACATTTCCTCTATAATTTGAAGTTCCGCCATTAGCAACCTTGGATTTTACTCTAAAAACTAAATACTTTAATTCCCACCAATTTAAGTTAATAAGACTAGAGAAAGCTTTGGCTTGCATCAAATTCGCTGGAAAATCTTCTACATCACAAGAAAATTCAGATTCTTCACTGCCACCAAACCAAAGTCCCATCAACAACAATTCCATTATGTTAGGTTTGGATACACATAGATTTGTATTTGAATTTGGATTTAAGCCAAATCCATTGTTTGGATAATTAAAAATGCATGGATTTGAATTTGACTTAAATTCAAATCCAAACTCTCCCTTAATCTCTTTGTAATTTGAAATCCTTTCTAAATTCCTATTATTTCAAATCCTAACTCAAGCTCTTTTGTAATTTGATCTAAATGTATGAAGGTTTGATCGACTTGCCAACGGTAATTGGACCGAACCCCTAAAGTTGATGAAAACAAGTTGCCACTGTTAATTGGGATGGGACAACAAACTTTCATTGGGATCGAACCTATAGCGACGATAGGGACTGAACGATCGACTTTCACCAAGATTAGACCGACGGTGATAACGGGGACCGAACGGTTGACTTACCCAGAGATCAAACCTACGGCAACTTGAAGGCTAACTTCCACTAGGATTGGACTAATAGGGATCGAACGGCTGACCTCCATTGAGACCAAACCGATGATGATGACAAGGACCAGACGACCAACTTTCACCAGGATCAGATCAAATACGACGAAGGGGATCAAACTATAGAATTCTATTGACACCACATAGATACCGACGATGAGTATATGATGACTGACTTCCACCAGGACTTGATCGATGATGACAACATGGACTAGATCGTGGACTTTCACCCAGACCGAACCAACAACTACGATGAGATTGAAAAGTCAACTTCCACCAGGACCAGATTGATGGTGATGACGGGGACTAGACCAACAAGGATGACAGGGACTGGATGACCGACTTTTATCAAGACCAGACTGACTGTGAGGATGCAGATCGGAGGGCCGTGTTCCATCAGGATCGGACTAACGGTGAGGATAGGGACTGGATGGCCAAGTTCCATCAATACCATACCAATGACGATGGGAAACGAACGAACGACTTCCACCAAGATCAAACAACTGACTTATGAAGGGACCTAATTGATAGTGATGATGGGGACCCAATAGCCAACTTCCACTAGCACTGGATCGATGACGATGATGGTAACCTAATAGCTGACTTCCACTGAGACCAAACCTATGACGGTGACAATGACCAAAAGTCTAACTTCCATAGGGCGAGGACCAAACAGTCACCTTCCGTCGCCATCCCTTCAGTCTAATCGCTATCACCATTAGTCCAGTATGGTGCATATGGAAGCTAGCAATCCTGTCCCTGTCGTAGTGTCGATCCAATCTTAATGGAAGTTGACTGTATTGTCCTTGTCATTGGCATCAGCTTGATCCTAGTGGAAGTCTGCTATTTGATCCCTATCATTGGTGTCAGCTTAATCCCTATAAAAGTCGGCCATTCGATCCCCGTCCCTGTCATCGTTGGTCTAGTCTCTGTGGAAGTTGGCCATCCAGTGCTCGTTGTAGTTGTTAGTCCGATCCCAGTGAAAGTTGGACATCTTGTCCCCATCGTCGTCATCAATTGGGTCTCTGTGGAACTTGGCTGTCCGGTGCCTGCCGCTACAGCTAATCAGGTCCCAATGGAAGTCCGTCGTCTAGTTCCCATCGTCACCGTCGATTCGGTCCCTGTGAAATTTGGTTGTCCTATCCCCATCATCATTGATCTGGTCTCTGTGAAAGTTGGTCATCCAGTGCCCATTATAATCGTCGGTCCAGTCTTAGTGAAAGTCAGTCGTCCTGTCCTGTCGTTGTCGTCGAGTCTTTATGGAGGTCAATCGTCCAGCGCCCATCACCGCTGAAGATTGGGTCCCAATAGAAGTCGGCCATTAGGTCCCCGTCATCGCCGCCAATTTGGTCCTGGTAGAAGTCAGCCGTTTGGTCCTCGTTGTCGCCATCGGTCTGATCTCGATGGAAGTTTGTTGTTCAATGCCTGTTGTCACCGTCGGTCTGGTCTCGGTCAAAGTCAGTCATTTTGTCCCCATCGCTACGATTATCTGACCCCGATGGAAGTCAGAGGTCTTATCCCGGTCATCATCAGTGTCACAGTCCCAATCAGCTTTGTTTGTCTAATCTCATTGGATGTTGGCCATTCGAATCATCAAGTTTGACTAATCTTTCGAGTTTCTTTTAAATTTAAATATAGAATTTGAAATTTTACTTTAGATCCAAATATAGAATTTAAATATTATAATTTGAAATTTTTTATATCATCCAAATAAAGAATTTATAATCTATGAATTTCAAATGTGAGATTTTAAATATGAGATTTTAAATCCAAATTTTCAACTTAAATCTACTCATACAAACACAACCTTAGTTTAATGTTTGGTACTTCAAATCCCCTTGATTCTTGATGAAAATGGTCTAGAACCTTGATGAAAGTCACTATTTCTGGAATGCTCTTGCAAAACCCTAACGTAATGTTTGGATTGATGAATTTAGACTTGAATTTTAGATTAAACATTTGAAATTCATGTATTTAAAATTCTTTATTCTAGTATTAAAAAATTTTCAAATAAAGAATACTAATAAATTAATATTCAAAACGAAAATTAAAAATTAAAAATAATGAATTTATTTATATTTTTTAGCTGACAAGAGATGAAAAAAGATACAGAAGTCATAGATGCGTCAACGTTGAAAACGTGAAGAGAATAACATGTTTAAAATGATATAAAATTTTAAATGATTGGGATGTAAAGGGATTTTGAAATTACAAAAAGAATTATAACTTAAAATCGACTTGGCTTTGAATCCAATACAAATTCAAAAATTTTTGTGTATACAAATGAAGGATTTGGTCCAAATTCAAATCCCCATTAATATAAACACACCATGAAATTTTGTTTGTTTTCCTCTCATAGCTGTTGTCTATAATCATTTTCGGTGGCGAATGTGCTCGTTGATTCCGCAAATGGTGCCAGATACACCTGTGTGTTTGACTAGTCAACTCTGGTGTCCACGGCTAGATGTAAATTGAATAGCTGATGTCTGACACTGGACATTGACAGAGAGAATATGAGTTCCTCATGTCTACGTCTGCGACCGGATGTCTCACATTGTCCCCTTGTTTCCGGCAGACATAGACAGAAACTTGGCTATAATAATTTTTTAAAATGTTGTTTGAAAAGTTTGCTTTGGCTCCCATGTCAAAACGTCTTTAGACCAGTAGATCCTCCTAGTCCTTATATTCTCCCAGTGAACGCTTTTGTTCTCTCTTTTCTCTTCTTATATGATAATTTAACAATCTACTGGATATCCACTGTCCTTTCACAATTTTGCCAAAGACAGAGGATGTATGCAATATTTGTCCTTGATCACATTACTTGACTTGTCAATATGTTATCTATTTTCTACAGCGAGAATTTGTGCTTGCAGTATATGAATCTGTGGAAAATATCGAAGAAGTGTTGTAATGTGTCTCAGGTGTTTAAATCCTAACAGAAGATAAAACTATAGTTTCGTATGGTATTTTCCTTCCAGAAGTATCCCATCAACAACTGATTTAATTCTTTCCTTTCCTGTTGTTTGTTTTCAGCTATTGTCAATAGGAATAGGAGATTAAACTATAGTTCTTAATGACGCCTTTTAGCAAAATTCAGCGGAAAGAAATAATTGCCCAACCCCACACACTTTAGCTACTTGGCACATTTCTTATGGTGTCACACCATTTCTTATGCTGTAACACCACCAGCAGATAAAAGAAGAGTACTTTTTATTAGAACTTTGCCAGATTTGGAGGATCTCACCTGATATGATTACATATGATGATTGGAATGAACACAGAAATCACATCATGGATTCACAAACTAGCATTCGAAAGAGGAACCACGACAATGAATATTCATGAACTATAGCGAATTAACATATTAAACATTTAGTACTATTAATGTAGAACATTTATATATATAAAAAAAATTTAGAGCTTCCCTGTTGAAGATTTGAAGGTATACTGGGGAAGAGTGTATTTAAGATCTTTCAAATGGAATAGAGACATAAAAGCACCCCAGTCTATCAGTATCCCCTCAAAATTTGAGACAGTTACTTTATTGATGAAACATAACTCATCATTGTTTGTTGTTTGCTCTGCTGCAGAAGGCATTGATGGATCTAATGATCTTTTGGATATTTCATATGCATCAGCAGAACATTGCCTATCTACACATAATCAGTATGAAAATTGTCCCAAGCATCTTAGTACTATTATTTTAGCCTTGCCTTCTCTTAATCAGTCTTCTATCTCCCTTGCATGTTTGTGAGAGTTACACTGTTGAGGGAGCATGATTTGTTGCTTTGTTGAGAAGATTCTGAACTTGATGCACCCTGCCTTTTATTGAATGCAGGATGACATGGAGGAGGAAGATTAACAATGTCACTGTTAAGCATTGACATTACCGTGGCCATAGAAGGTCTGTCTCTTGCAAGTTCTTGGACACATAGAAGTCCAATGTGCATACATCTTCTAACTTCATTGATAAAATCTGCTGCTGATATTTCAGGGTCTATAAAAGTTATGATGTCCTCTTCATTCCATGACTTCCATGCCTGAAAACAAAATCAGAAGTAAGAAAAATAATACACATCCATGTAGCTTTGCTAAAATTATACCAAAGTTAAATTTAAGAGACTTACAAATCCTAAGAGGCTCAATGAGTGTTCATAGACATAAAAACTTGTGACTTTTGTGCCACTAATGATCTCTAGCAGCAAAACTCCAAAGCTAAACACATCTGATTTCTCTGAAAATAGTCCTTCCATAGCATATTCAGGTGACATGTAGCCACTGCATTTAATCCTTAAAAGTAAGATCAAATCATGTGAATATGCCATGGTTATAACAATATTATGTATAGAGAGATAGAAAACATGCTCACTATGTTCCAACAACCCTTCTTGTATTGCCTTCATCTTCATTGTTTTGGAAGATTCTTGCCATGCCAAAGTCGGATATCTTTGGATTAAGCTCTCCATCCAACAAAATATTACTAGGCTTTAGATCTCTATGAATAATTTTTAATCTAGAATCTCTGTGGAGATAAAGAACACCACGAGAGATTCCTTCAATTATGTTAAGTCGTTTTTTCCAATCTAAAGCCTTCTTTTTTATAGGATCTACAAAAGTACAAGAGAAATGGTGCTTTACGTATTGATTGACAAAATGTGAACATGTGTTTGAATTAAGAAAAGTACAAGGCTTTATCTTTCTTAAACAAAAAAACTATATAAGATCCTTTTTTATAATTTCAGTTTCAAACTTCAAAGGACTTAGAAAAGCTGGTAGAATATATGATATTCATATAGGAAAAGATAAGGATTTATAATAAATTTGGTGGTTGAACAAGAAAAATTTTAAGACGGCGAAGTCCGCATATAAGATAGAGGTAAGCAATTAACTAACCAAACACAAAAGCATCCAAACTCTTGTTTGGCATGTACTCATAGATCAACATCTTTTCCTCTCCTTCAATGCAACAACCTAGAAGTCTTACTAGATTACGATGTTGAAGCTTTGAAATAACAACCACTTCATTCATAAATTCTTCTAGCCCTTGTCCAGATGCTCTTGAGAGCCTCTTCACTGCAATTTCCTGTCCATCTCGCAACTCTCCCTACAAGAATATGTTAAGAAAGAGATAATGCTTCATAAATATTATTTGAAACTTTACATTGTTAAGTTACCTTATATACTGTACCAAAGCCACCTCTTCCAAGCTTATTAGCAAAACTGAAGTTGTTTGTTGCAGTAGCAATGATTCCAAAATCGAATAGTGGCAGCTCCTCTAATTTAGCTATTTTCAGGTCTTCTATTAGGTTTGCCCTGTGGTTTTTTAAATGTGATTCTTCTATTTCCAGCGTTAATGCTCCATTATTTCCCTTCCTTCTAGCTGAATGCAAGCATAATAAGAATAAAAAGACAAAAGAGTGAAAAAAATAAGACAGACATGAGAAACAGAACATATATATTCTTCAAATAACTTAAATAATGAAATGGCAAACACACCAAAATGTCTAGCAGCCCACCACCATACAATATATGCAGCAACAATGATAATTACTCCTACTGCCACTGTAACTATGATGACTACTTTCAACACTTTCTTTTCTCTTTCTGCATTCATTGCAATAAATAGTTTAGAATATATATATTGGGGAAGCTGAGAAATAAACATAGTAAAAAAATATCAAAATATTAAATGTTTTGTCGAAATGCTAAATCTACCAAGTTCAGAATAGGCTTCTCGGATATAAAGGTCCACTCCTCCCCTTGAAAATCTTACAACGTCAATTAAGTTTCCATTCCAAGACATGCAGCCAATTGCAGCATCATATGCATATGCCGTACAATTGCAATTATTTAGGCATTGAATTCTGCACATTTCCTCAGAACCATATGACTTCTCTGCAAAATCTGGCACTTTCGTCATTGGCAGTTTCAAAAACCCATCATCTTTATCAGTATCTCTCCCATTTTTCACCTTCCCACACCGCAACGATGCCCTTCTCATACATCCACTTGTCCAGTTTCGTCTATTCCATTCCTCGGCATTCCTCGGCTCAAATCCTCTCAAACAGCTGCAGATTGGGGAATTTCTGGGATCACAGCTTCCAAATGTCCCGCATAAACCATACATATCACAGATTGAATCTTGAACAGTTCGCATCCCAACTTTGTGTTTGTTCATCCAGGTGGTTAAGACTAGTTTTCCTTCTGAACTCAAAACTATGGTTCCAAAGAAAGACCCATTTGGCAAAGAATATGTTATGTGAACAGACCCATTTTCTTCCCTTCCTACGTCAAATCCATTTAGATATGAGGAAGTATACATCTTGGATAACCCAATGAACACTTGACCATTCCAAGGACCTGACCTCCAATATGGCTGTGTTTGATTCCAGATGAACACTTCAGGCGTACTGGGGCGTTCAAGGCCGCTGGAGAAGGTTCCAATGGAAGGATCCGAAGGGCTCTTCCATGAAGTAACCTTCAGTTTCTCACCTGTTTTTTGGTTAGTGCTAATTACCAAATTTGGAAGGAATGAATTACCTGGATGTTGGAAACTCTCCCATAATGTTCTGCCTGTGTCATCTAGCAGGACTAAGTTTCCTGTATTGAGAAGTTGAGCAGTGGAATTGGAGGCCTTGTTTGATATATTTGAAGTCCAAGCAACCTCTTTATCTCCATTCAATACAACAAGATTATTGTCCCCAGAAATTGTGAGAATTCCAGATGAATCTTTCAATGGTTGGTTTCTGTTAGCCACCCAGATGACATTCGAGTCAGAAACATACCAGATTCCTACATAGCGATTCGTCGCATTTTCAGGGCTAAAGAATCCCAGTTCAAATTCACTGTTGTTTGAGCGTACAATTTCAGAATCTCTAATGAACTGAGTTGTTGTAATAGTGTCAGAGGCAGTGCAAAAATCTGCACAAAAGCCAGAAATCACAAGAAAAACAGGTAATAAGTTTCTAAGTGAACTAATCCCCATGATTTCAAGGAACACTCCCTAGTACAAAACCAAAGGGACTACTAAGAGAATCTGGCATGTAAAAGATCGACTTGCTCTTGTTTTCTTCTGAAAGATGAAAAAAAAGATGAAAAAATCCAGAGTGCTAATGTCTGGTTGAATACTAAAACAGAGTAAATAGGACTTTTACCAGGGATTTGGACTAGAGAGTAATCTAATTAATTGTTTTATGGCTATAATGAAGGCGCACCACTGATTCTCTTATCGTGGAGCAATACTTTGAAGACTTTATTTCATGTCACTATCTTAGTCTACATTTTTTTAATCTTTTTGTCCAAGATCCTCCCTAATTTCTATCTCCCTTCATTTGAACACACACACCCATGCGTATCTAGATATATATGTATATAGTTTCTTTTTAATTTTTTAATAATTTTTTCTAGAAGTCATGGTCATGCATGGTATGGGGACGAGAAAGTTGTGATCAGCCGTGTCATTTGGATTTCATGTGATTAGAAAGCCAACGTTTGGCTTCAACCATGTCCATTCATTGACCCGCCAATCTGGACGGTGAGATACTATGACTACATTGAAAATGCACTTTCGATCATTGGTGCCACTTTGTTTTATGTACATACGTTAGTTGACATTTTCTTCATTCTTGTTTGCCCAAATTTTGGTGTTACACACACACACACACACACACACACATATGAATGTATGTGTTTCCATGCTCCTATGCTATACATTGATAGTAGATTGAGAGTAACTATAGTTTTGGGTCCAAGAATAATTCAGACCCAAAAAAAACAAAAAAGTGCAGATTGACGTTCCTGAAATATTATAACCTACGGGCGGATCTAGGCTTCGGGTTGAGCGGAGGCCAATTTTTTTTAAATATACTTTTTTTATTAAAAAATATAAAAAAATTTTATCAAATCATGTCTTTTAATAAATTAATTATTTATCTTTAAATTGATATCATTTTTTTATATTTATCCTTATTCAATATAAATATGAGGAAGTCACCCTCAAATCTTACAAAAGTTATGTCTAACATGTTTTATCAGAACTAAAAAAAATATTAAAATTTATTAATTTTATTTAAAAATTTAATAAGTTTCTAATTTCTTCCCTATTAAATATGCTTGCTTTTTTTTGATAACATTAAATATGCATATTTTAATAGCATATTTCTGACACTAATATTTACTCCTTTCATTTAAAAATGTAAGGCATGTTTAAACTAACTTCACCCCTCATAAAATAGTTAATTTTCTTTAAACTAATATTGCCTTTTCATATTCATCCTTATTAATAATATGTTTTACTTTAAAATTAATATAAAATAATTTATTTATTATGCACATTTTTTAAAAAAATATATACTTGAAACGATAAAAACAACCTTGTAATATTCCTCTTTTTAAAAAATATAAGTAGAATAAACAGGACAAAAAACTATTCTTTCTATCTTCTTGTGTCTTTTCTAGAGGGGAGGGGTTAGCGGTTAACCATTTTCATAGGACTAAATATTTGGAGACTCATATCATATGTAAGAAGAGGTAGTCATGCAATAGTGGTTCCGCCGCTGCTAACGGCTCGTTGCAGAAACAAATTACTGTCCAGGATGCCAAAGACAGAACAAATGAAAGCTTCAACGTCCCTTTTTGTCTTCTTAAATTAATGTTTCTTGGGGCATCATGAATATATGATGATAATATACATTCACTATCTTTTCATATTTTTGCTTGATACAGAGAATATAAAATATTCATCCTTGATTGTTTAATTCAATCCTAATCCAGGTATCAACAATGAATATTTTACCATCTTAATACTCACCCAGGTGATATATAAAACTTGCAAGGTTCTTTATGGTTATTTACCTTTTTACATAACCTAAAAACAATAATAGATTGTCCAATCTTACGCATTACCTGTTAGGTGCACTTCATATGCTGTACAACAAGCAGAATCACTTTGCCATATTTGGGAATTAATAGTAGGTATAATTATGAATACAAACAGTGATTCGAACAAATATAGAAATCAGGACAATCCAGACTAGTTCATTGGATAGGAGAATACCCTAACTGCAAGACTTTCCAATATAGATCTCATAACGATGCACCTTTATTCAAGAAGCAATATGCATTGCGGTTGCAATCCTCATCAATTCACTCAATGACACTTCACTTGAATTCCTTGTCATCACAATGCTTTGTGGATAGCCCTCTTCGTGGTTTTGAATGTGAGACACCTTGATATATGACTCATAACACATCCATAGTCTTTATAACCATTATTGTTGTCATCATTCACGATCTCCCTTGAATGTTTGTGAAAGTGATGCTATTAACGGAGTATGACCTATTACTTTTATGAGACAACTTCACACTTGGCACAAACTTCCTCTGTATGAATGCAGGCTGACATGACGGAGGAAGATTAGCAATGTGATTATTGAGCATTGAATTTACAGTGGCCATAGAAGGCCTGGCTATTGCATGATCTTGAACACATAAAAATCCAATGTGTATGCATCTCACAATGTCCCTGATGTAAACTGGATCACATATTTCCACATCTATGAGAGACTTGATACCATCTTCGTTCCATAATTTCCATGCCTGAAAGAAAATACATTAAGTGTTTATAGAAGCCTAGACTGTCAATAAATTTGTAGACTTATGTTAATAATAAAAATTAATCCATAATTAATTCGGAGAGGCTTACAAGTTCCAAGAGGTTCAATGAATGTTCATGATCACAAAGGCTTATATTTTTCCTACCACTGATGATCTCAAATAGTAAAACTCCGAAGCTAAACACGTCTGATTTTTTTGAAAATAGTCCTTCCATTGCGTATTCAGTTGGCATGTAACCACTGCATTCAATCATTATTCATTAATGGTAAAGTTCAAATCGTATGAATCTATTAGTGATATTTCAAAATTATATGGAGTGCAAACTTACTATGTTCCAACAACTCTTTGAGTATTGCTTTCATCTTCATTGCTTTCAAAGATTCTTGCTAGACCAAAGTCTGATATCTCAGGATTAAGCTGATCATCTAGTAAGATGTTACTTGGCTTTAAGTCTCGATGTATAATTTTTAGTCTAGAATCTCTATGAAGATAAAGTAAGCCACAGGCAATTCCTTTAATTATGTTCAAGCGGTTTTTCCAATCTAAAACCTTCTTTCTGATAGGATCTACATAAACAACAATAAAGAGCTGGTTACTTTTCGTTTTACAATAAGATAAATTTCAAATTTAATCCGCCAAGTTACAAGATTTTGATGTACTCATATAAAAAACTAAACCATGTTTTGTTTGAAAGCGTAGCAAGAACAATCCTATGAAACTCTAACTTCAAAAAATAAGAATGAAACTAGTACTGTAATGATAGGTATAACTATAATGTAATTGCAAGGATTCTATGAACATAGATGATTAGCAGACATAATAAGATGGACTAACCATATATGAAAGCATCCAAACTCTTATTAGGCATGTGCTCATATATCAACATTTTCTCCTCTCCTTCGATACAGAAGCCTAAAAGTTTTACAAGATTACGATGTTGAAGGTTCGAAATCACAACCACTTCATTGATGAACTCTTCCAGTCCTTGTTTAGATGTTCTTGAAAGTCTTTTCACTGCTATTTCTTGTCCATCTTGCAATTCTCCCTAATGGAATATATATACACATGTATATATTAAATTAAACTAAAAAAATATAATAGGATCAAGTGATCATACAGATTATCTGGAAGTAAAATTTCACAAGATATTGGTACCTTGTATACTAAACCAAAACCACCCTGCCCAAGCTTATTAGCGATGCTGAAGTCGTTTGTTGCAGTTGCAATGATTCTTGGATCAAACAGTGGTAGCTTCTCAAGTTTAGCTATTTTCAGGTCTCCAAGTAGTAGGTTTTCTTCCTTGTTCAGCAATAATTTTGCTTTGCTTTGCTTTTTTCTTGCTGAATGCATGCATCATATGACCAAAAATTCCAGAAATAAATCAATACATAAAATGAAGTCAGTAAAATGGATTATATTTTCTTTTCCTTTTACTTTTGAAAACTAAGATAATCGATTAGATCCTATTATTCAAAAACCATGGCAAAGAAAGACATTTGTATTTGTAACCTATCTATCTATTTAGTAACCAACCATTGAAGAGAACATGATTATTCTTGAAATCACAGCAGAGATTTGGGAAAGTATACCAGTGTGTTTAGCAGTCCATGCCTTTAAGATATATGCACAGATGGCAATGATGATCACTCCTACTATCACTGTTACCGAGATAACTACTTTGAAGTCTTTCTTATTCCTACCTATATTAATAGCAATGTAATAAACTCATTTAGAAACATTTATATATAATCAAATAATTAATTGACTCAAAATGTACCTACCGAGTTCTGAATGGGCTTGGCGGATGTAGAGATTAGTTCCTCCACTGGACAATCTTACTACACCTGTTAAATTTCCAGTCCAGTAAATGCAGGAAAGAGAAGCAACATATGCAAATGCTATACAACTGCAATTATTTATGCACTGAGTTCTGCATGTGTCCTTAGGAAAAAATGATGGAGTTGAATATGACGGAGTGTTTGTCATTTGCAGCTCAAGAAACCAGTCATCTTTGCCTTTACCAGTCCCACATTGCAGTGATGCCCTTCTCACACATCCACTAGTCCAGTTTTGGCTATTCCATTCTTCTATATTCTTAGGCTCAAACCCTTTCAGGCAAGTGCATATTGGGGCATTATTGGAGTCACAGATCCCATATGTCCCACAATAGTTATATGTATCACAATTAGATTCTTGAACCCTTCGCTGCTTCCCAACTTTGTTTATTCTGGTCGTGAAAGCCAGTTTTCTTGTAGGAGGGCTTTTTCTTGATGAACCTTTTTCTGGTTGGTACTGATCATTGCCAAAGTTGGAAATTCCGTGTCTCTTGGATGTTGAAAACTCTCCCATAAAGTCTTGCCAGTGTGGTCTAAAAGCACAAGGTTACCAGAATCAAGAAGTTGAGCAGTGGGACTTGATTGTTTGCTTGATACATTTGATGTCCAAAAAACCTCTTTCTTTCCATTCAATACTACAAGATTGTTGTCCTCAGATATAGTAAGGATCCCAGAAGAATCCTGTAATGGTTGGTTTCTATTAGCCACCCATATGACTTCGGAGTTGGAGATATTCCAAATTCCTACATAGCGATGATCTGTGGTATTTTGGGGGCTGAAGAATCCAAGTTTGAATGCGCTGTTGTTTGAACTTACAGTTTCTGAATCTCTGATGAAAACAGATGATGTAATGGATTCTAAAGCAGTGATGAAACCTATACAAAAGCCTGAAAGTATGAGAAAAATAGACAGTAATTCCATCACTTGAAGAACTAATAGGCGTTTTTAATTTCCTCAACTGCCACAAACTTGGATGAACCAGATGAATGTATACTATTTACATGGTGAAATTTTGCATATGTTGAACTTTGGTTTTCTTGTATCCGAGAAAATCTTTACTTGTTGTGTTGTAATCTGCATTTAAAGCCACAAGTGATGTTACCTCATTGACCCGCCAGGCAATCTTGAAGATTGATCTCCACGTACTATGAGCCATGCATCATAATAGTATTTTTTGACCATATTATGCAAAATATTTTTAAACAAAACAATGCTTTAGATTAGTTTGGGATTTGAAATATATTACTTTGAGAATGATCATACCAATTTGATTCAGAAACAAATCAAAATAATAGCATGTATAGCATTTAGATATTATAGTTATACCAAGTGTTCAAAATCCATGATAAAATCATCATGCACGTTTTGGAAAATGCATTTCAGGTGTTCACATATATGCACGCACAAAATCATCATCAATAAAATTAGTAGCTATTTTTACTGAAATTTTATTCTATATATTTTTTTTTAATTGCTGCAGTTGACGCATTACTTTTGTTTTCAGAAAGGACCTCCATTTCGTGCATTCACGTATATGCATGCACACAATCATCATCATGGATTCTCTTTGTTTTTTTAATTGTCTGGAACCAAATTTGTAGAGTGGCTTGGGTGGAATAGATTTGTTAGTGATATTGATAGCAGAAACAGTTTGGCAAGCATGATTGGGATAATAACACAGTACTGATATCAAAGAAAAGAAAGATCCAAATTTATATGCAAAAGAAAGGGCCCCAGAAAATTAAAAACACTAAATTTCTTGTGAAAAACACAACACAGGGATCATTGCAAAGACAACGATAGAAAAAAAAAAAAAACATGCATAATTGAGGACTAGTGGGCTCTAATATCACTTTGTTTCCAAAACTAATAAAAGGAAAATGGAATTTTTGGTCCTTAGACTTTTTCAGTTACCAATTTGATTATTCATTATCAATCTTTTCCCTATAATTTTATAACCATGTATGGTTTGGGCGAAAGACCTAAAATATCGAAGCGAATGAAAAGAAAAAAAGTTGTAGATAAATAAATACATTCAATTTTGGGGAAAAAAGATGCTTTAGTTTAGAACTTCTATGTAGTTATGAGAGCACATAACGTTGTTTTGCTCCATGTATGTGATCTTAATATTTCTCCCTACACCATTTTCAAACAATAAGAATTATTTTTATATGCTTCTTGGAGGAAGACACATTTGTTAAAAATATAACCTAGGTGTTTCAAGATGGGCTCAATAAAAACAGAAATCTCTTATAAAACAAAAGGGTGAACGCTTGTTTGATTCTGATTTCCAGTATGAATATGAACCGTGAAAGTGCGGTCTATGAATCCTTTAGTCTTTTGGAAAAACTAAATTAATAATTCAAAAAAAAATCAGCAACCAAAAATTTCATTTCAAAAAATATAGTAGAAGAGATCTTACTTTTATGGCACTGTCTAAGGAATCCTTTGCTGTTCTTCAGAGGATCTGCAAAGAGATGCCAATCATCTGTCCACAACATATAGTACTGAAACGAGAGAATAATTCTTATGCTCAGAGGAGGGTGAATGTGTTTGTAAGTCTGAGAGAATTATAATATTTGATTCTTTGAAATTTTCTTATGAAAAACATACAATACAGAGTCATTGCAAAGACTGCAAGGAATAAAAGAAAAAAAGAAATGTGCCTTAATTATACGGACTAGCTAGCGGGCCATGATATCACTTTCTTTCGAAAATTAATAAAGGGATGGACTGACGAGGTAGATTTCAAGACCGCGTCCGGTTTCGGTGCTGAGCACCGCGGTACTCATCATAAAAAAGCATCTGGGCCATTCAGATTTTGGATGATCCAAATTTTTAATTTTATAAAAATATTTTAGTTTTTTTAATTTTAATTTTATAAAAATAAAATTAATAATTGTTTGATAAATATATTCATCATCAATTTAGACAGTATTAATTCAATTTGAGACTCTACGTGATTCAATTTAAAATTATAATTTTTATAAACTGATTATCTAGATGTATTTTGGACAAGATAGATTTAATATTAAATTTTTTTAATAAGTTTTTATTTTAATAAATAAAAAATAAAATAAAAACTTTAAATCTAAGCCTTGCAGATAAAAATTTAATGTTGAATCTGGACTGTTCAAAATACATCTAGATGGTTAATTTATGAAAATTACAATATTAAATTGAACCATCTAAATTTAATCAATACTATACAGATTGATGATGAATATATCAAAATTGATGATAAATATATTTATCAAAAAAATTTATAAATTTTATTTTTTATAAAATTAAAATTAAAATTGAAAAAACATGGACCATCCTCTGGATGGCTCAGATGCTTTTTTATGATGAGTATCGCGGTGACCATTGAAATAAACAAAAAAATAAATAAAGAAAAAAATACATTCCCAAATTCTTAAATTGAATTTTAAATTCTATTAGTCTACCAAAGACTTTTACTTTGACCCATGAAAGTTAAAAATTAAAATTATACCAACGACTTTCATACCTTGTGGGCCATAATATCACTTTCTTTCAAAAATTAATAAAAGGAAAGACTGATGAGGTAGATTTCAAGACCACTGAAATAAACAAATAAATAAATTCCCGAATTCTTAAATTGAATTTAAAATTCTATTAGTCTGCCAAAGACTTTTACTTTGACCCATGAAAGTTAAAAATTAAAATTATACCAACGACTTTTATACCTTTGGCTGATGAAAGAAATGCAAGCTGGACCAACGACTTTTAACTTACAAATCGTAACGACTTTTACTTTTTGGTTAGAGAAGACCAAAAGTAAAAGTCGCTGATTTACTCCTTACGGGGACTCTATCATATTCCAAGAAAATTTGATTAGAGACCTCTGTACGTAATGTTCATAAGGAAAAATACTATACTCCTTCGTCACAATTTATAAGATACATTAAATAAAATCACACGCATACTTGTAATAGCTCAATCAAAGAAACTCAGCCCAAACTTATCTCTTCAGCTGCATCCCCACCATGAAGCTCTGTTATGAGCAAGAGCTAATTCTGATAAATATTTCATTTTTCCTTCTTTCGGTTCTTCATTCTTCTTGTCTCTCCCTTGATAGTATATCCCCAAGCCAATCACTCAGAGATGGTGACATTTTGCTCTCCGACAGTGGAATTTTCGCCTTCGGTTTCTTCACCCCCGGAAATAATTCTTCAACGAAGCGGTACGTTGGCATATGGTATCATAAATTCTCCAACCAAGCCGTTGTGTGGGTGGCTAATAGACAAAATCCTATTAATGATACTTCTGGAGTTTTGTCTATTGATACTCATGGAAACATTGTTCTCCTTCACAATGATATATATTCGAACCAAACTCCTATTTGGTCTTCCAACATTTCAAACACATCTTCTAGTGACTCCTTTGCTAAGCTTCAAGACTCAGGAAACTTGGTTTTGATAACAAGAAATGGTGGAATAACGAAAGTTCTGTGGCAGAGTTTTGATTATCCCAGTGACACTTTGCTTCCGTTCATGAAAATCGGAGTGGATCGGAGAACCGGTTTCAATAGGTTCCTCACGTCATGGAAATCCCCAGATGACCCAGGGTTGGGGAACGTGAGCCATAGGATCGACCCAACAGGCTATCCTCAGTCATTCATATATAGAAACGGTGCTCCATTTTGGCGGGGCGGGTCTTGGACGGGTCAAGGATTGAGTGGTGTACCTGAAATGATACCAAACTTCAATTTCCAAGTAAGATTTATTGAAAATGCTGGCGAAGTTGTCATGATGACGCAACTCATGGAACCTTCCATGTTCTTAAGAATGGTGCTTGACAACATGGGCCATGAGACATGGACTATTTGGCAACCTAATGGGTAAAAAAGGTTGCAGATATGGTACGGTCCGAAGGAGGACTGTGACTACTATGGACGATGCCGGTCAAATAGTAAGTGTGACCCGCATAACGAGGACAAGTTTGAGTGTGTGTGCTTGCCCGGATTCTAACCCGTGAACCCGCAAGAGTGGAACATGAGAAACGGGTCGAGTGGGTGTGTGAGGAAGAAGAACATGTCCATGTGTCAAAGTGGGGATGGGTTTGTGAAGGTGGCAAGTGTGAAGGTTCCAGATACGTCAAAAGCACGTGTGAATAAGAGTGAGACTATGAGCTTAAAAGGGTGTGAAGAGATGTGCTTAAGGGATTGTTCTTGTGTAGCATATACGAGTGCAGATGTGGTCTCACAAAGTGGGTGCTTGACGTGGCATGCTGATATGGAAGATATTAGGACTTACCAAGGCCAAGGACAAGATTTATACGTGCATGTGGATGCATCTGAATTAGGTACGTTCTTGTTCACTTCTTTTTCTAATATTGAATGAATAAGCAACTGTTTCACACGATAGTTTAATAAGCTATTCACAAATATCACTCTACTATTGTTTGCTCTACGCATTAAAATTGATTAAATAATAAATTATAACCTCCTTTTAATATTATAGAAATTGAACTAGTGGTCTCCAAATCAATGGCCATGTCATGTACATGATACTAATATTGATCGAAGATCCAAAAAAAAGTTTTAAAATAAGGACAGTATACAGTGCTGGAATTGGTTGTTCTTGATCAATCTTGTTCAAACTCAAGCTAGAGGGATGATTACAATCAAATCTATAAACTTAAATGCGACCTCATATCAATTCAGAGGAATAGAAGAAATTGAATGTGCGAAGGCGTACCTAAATTTATAATCAAATGCATTACAAGATTTCTTTATGGTTCTTTGGAAAGGATCAAAAAGCCAGTTTCTTATTATGCCCCGCCTGTGAATCACAACCTCTATTTATAGACTAAAATTGGTGATATTTATAGTTTGGCCCCTCAACAAATTATAAATATCAATTTGGTCTCTACACTTTAATTCCATAACAATTACACATCCTAAAATTTTTTCAAATATGACAGACTGCTTTATTTTGGTTTAATTATAATAATGACCACATATTTTTAATATTTACATGTGTGGCTCCATATGTTGAATTTTTTTCTTTTCCCTCCAACATACACTATGCTTATATCAGATTTTCCATAATTATAGTATCCTACCATTCAACATTCCATACAAGAGAAATAAACCCTAACGAAAAAGGTGTATGCATGATATAGGTGCTTTTCCCCGTAGAAATAAACCCTGATTTTTCTTTGGTATGAACTTATCTGCAGGAAAATATGAAAGTAAGCCTTATGGTTCTCTTGGAAAGAAGGGGATGGTGACACTCGTAGTCGTTTCTACGTGCCTGATACTCTTGGTTATTGTTTTTGCGTATTGGTTTGTATGGAACAAGAAACGAGGTAAGCTGATTTTCAATAAGATTTTCAGCATATCTGTACTCTATCTCTGAACTGAACATATAAGCTAAGTAGAGGTATGTTTTTCTTCTCTTTTCATTCTAAAGTGTTCAATTAATTGCCTGTATGTAATCCTGTTTTCTGCCTAGTTTGATAGCGAAGTTGTATTACAACTCATCTCTTATCATTTTCTTTTTACTACAGTACAAAGTAGGCATATCGAACATGTTTTTGCTGGACATCAGAACAATAATTCAGATTTACCATTATTTGATCTAAGTGACATAATAGCAGCAACAGACAATTTCTCAGAGACTAACAAGCTTGGACAAGACGGTTTTGGTTCTGTTTATAAGGTAGTCATATATTCTTTGTACGTAATTAGACTTAAATGTCGTATATTTATTTCTAAGATCAAGGCATATGTTAACAATTAATTTATAGCAAGACAAACAAGTTAAGGCAAAAGACATAATATATAAGGACATGATTATATATTGCTGGTTTTGGTTTCTTAAAACAAAGATAATATATGCATACGTTCATAAAATAACTACAGATTTTGGACTCTAGGGTCTACTCAATGATGAAAAGACAATAGCAGTGAAGAGGCTGTCAAAGTATTCTGGACAAGGCATTGAAGAATTCAAAAATGAGGTTTCTATAATTGCAAAGCTCCAACATAGAAATCTTGTCAAGATTTTAGGTTATTGCATACATGGAGAAGAGAAGATGTTGATCTATGAATATTTGCCAAACAAAACCTTGGACTCTTTTCCTTTTGGTATGTCTTCTTTTTCATTTTCTATATAATTTATAGTTTTAACTTTCATGTTTGATAAAATAGAAAAAATTGGTAAAACATTCTTACTTCTAATAGATTAAAATTTTTATTTATTAGATCAAGCAAAAAAGGTACTCTTAGATTGGACGAAAAGATTTGATATCATTTGTGGAGTTGTCAGAGGAATGTTATACCTTCATCAAGATTCAAGATTAAGAATAATTCATCGAGACTTAAAAACCAGCAATATCTTGTTAGATTCTACATTGAATCCAAAAATTGCAGATTTTGGTATGGCTAAAACGTTTGGTGGAGATCAAATTGAAGGAAACACAAACCGCATCGTGGGAACCTAGTAAGCACTCTCCAATGCAACACTATATAGTTTCCTAGCATTACATTGCTTATATCCCTCATTTCCCCAAAGTTCACTAAAATACCAATTAAAATTAAACAATAAAGACTTTATATTTGGAATGAATATTTGATATCATCAAAATTTATATCTAAGAAGTGTAAATTGTTATACCAATTAATTTTCAATCCGTTATTCATGGTTAAATAACATTAAACATGATCTTGTTAAAGTTCGTCTTTTTGGTTCTTTTAAACTCAAACATATTTATGTGACATATAATATTGTGACTAGAGGAGAAAACATACTTGTTTGCCACACTAAATTGTTCACTATGTAGGAACAAATTAAAAGTTACACTAAAGCCTAGTTCTTTCAACACAACAAATACACACACACAGAAAATGAGAGAAAAAGAGAAAACGAGAGTGGTGTTTCTAGCACCTTGAAACCAGTATACATTCTCTGCCTTAACCCATGCATGCCCCCTCTTCCCTGAATGAGCATGCATGGATAGTTATAAAAATAATTCCCTCCCATTTTGAAAGAAAAAGGGAGAACTGCACATAAGGGTCAAAAATCATTTTTTACATCTTGACAATGCCTCATTATATATTTGGGCTTGGGTTTGGGTTTAATCCATAGAGTAGACAATCCAACAAATATTCAGAAACAACAATAAAAAAAGTCAAGTACACACACCTGGCAGTTTAAGTATTTTACATTGAGATGACCATTTGATAAATGTCAACAATCTTTTACAGTGATATATGTCACTTGAATATGTAATGGAAGGGCTGTT